AACGTAACTCCCCCCTCTTTTTAAACGCCGACAAAAGTCAATATGTGTTTTACTTCTGTCATGACCGGTTGGGAGGGCAGAGCGCATGACAGTAGAATTTTCAAAGCTGCAAAGCGGAATAACAAGTACAACATCCCACATCCTCCTGTAAGTATGCTTGGACTCAGCTACTCTCGTAATTCAAATTTACCTCACAACTAACTATGTAGTGCATATCAGGTAAATACTACTTGGTTGATGTTGGATATTCATTGCAGCGAATGTAACTCAAGCGCTATCCTGATACGAGATACCACATAACCAACTTCGAGCGAACAAACAATGTAAATTGAGGCAAAAAAATGTTCAATAAAAGACATTTTTTTACACGGTGTCAATGAGAGTACTTCACGTGTTTGAAAGAAGAAATGGGTTATGAAGCGCGAAATGTCATCTTACCTGTTTTTCAAACAGGTGCAGATTGTGATTGCCACAATGGCGCTCAACAATTTCAATTGGAGACATCCTTCCCGCAACAATATCAACTTCCATCAAGCGGACGAGAATCATGAGCATGTACCTGTCGAAGCATTTGAGTAATGTTCTCTGTCACAGCAAGAGAATGATGCTTCCACCACCTACACTGCAGACTGGGAAAGTGTAAGTGGGATGACAGAGTTGAGGGAACAAATTATTAATGTGATTGTAGAAGGGTGATTAGAATATTTATTATTTTATTATATATACTTAAGTATTATTTGTATTTTATTCACTTTCTGTTTATATTTATTTTCTTGTATGTTTGATATTAATTTTTTTAGGCATTTTACGCTATTTGTAAGTTTTTTTTTCATTTGCATTTCATTTATTTTTGTTTTGTGCGTTCGAAGGGTCGATGATGAGACGTTTGACCTTATGGGTTCTTCTGAAAGACCATTTAGTGTTGTTGGTTAGTGTAATATGTGAAATCCTAATGAAGGCAACCAAGTTCCAACTTTTCGGTAGAGCGGTTTTTGAGGTTCTTCTGGAATGTATTTTTTGGTGATATGCATATGTAACAAACACGAGTTTTGAATTATGTGGATTAAAGACAACCAAGAACCTTTTTTTGATAAGGTCTACTGGCTTCTTCTTGTAACAGAATCGTTGGTTGGTATACAGAGTTTTCTGAGACCTCAAGCCTGCATAAAAAGTGTAATAGCTTCTTTTATCAATTTCTATTTATTTATTTTGTACAGTTCCTATTTATTTTCGTTCCTTATATATTTGATATTGATTGTTTGAGTTTCTTACGCTATTCGAATGTGTTTTAATTCCATTTGCATTTAATTTATTTTACTTTTGGTGGGTCTGAGAGGTCCATGATGAGTTGTTTGACTTTATAAGTTCTTCTAGATGTCTGTTAATCACTGTTGGTTGGAGTTACATATGAAATCATAATGCAAACAACAATGTTCCTCTCTTCGTTTCAGAGATAAGGTTTTTGAGGATCTTCTAGATAGCATTTTAGTGATATGCATATGTGACACGCGAGGTTGGTTTTACGTGAGTTAAAGGCAACCAAGACTCTTATTTTTTGCAAGATTTGTTTTCTTGTAGTGACAGATTCGTTGGTTTGTATACAAAGTTTTGTCATACCTCGCACTTGCAAAAAACAATAATTAACTACATCTTTTAGCAATTTCAACTTCTGTTATGACTAATGGATTGGCTTTTGTAGCATTCAGAAAAAATGAGCTCGAGGATTTCAGGAACCTCCCGAAGATTTCTCTACCACTGCAAACTTCAGTCTTCCCTACTGGCGTCGCGTTAGGCACGTAGCTATGGGAGAGTTCCACAGGTACCTGCGGAGAATCAAGGAGAAGAGTGACTTCTTCTGGTGGAGAGACAATCTGACAGATTCTGCTACAAACAGTGATCAGGAATGGATTGCATCCTTGAATGATGGCGTAGCTCGTGTCATTCGTTGTCTATATTTTAAAAATAATATAATCATATTATTAAGTATAATTTTAATAGTTTTTTTAGCAATTTGATAAGCACTGTTAAGTGAGGTGTATGGGTTACTTTTTGTACTGTTTTAAAGTGAACTTTTGTTTCTCAAGTATTAAATATATTGTTATAATAGTTATAATACAAACGACATTACTATACAGGGGCAGAAAGATCATTTGTCTAGAAACAACTATCTCACAGTTGTTTTCTAACTACAAAATATAAACAGCTAGTCAACTTATCTAAAGCAGTGTCTGCACAGCAGCTTCTTGGGGCAACTCAACGTCTGACAATCTGACAGATTGTACTGTCGACAGTGATAGGGAATGTACTGCATCCTTGAATGATGGCGTAGCTTGTGTCATTCGCCATCTGTGTTGTAAATATAACATAATCATATTATTAAATATAATTTTAACAATTTTTTTAGCAATCTTGATACTCACTGTTAAGTGAGGTGTATGGGTTATTTTTTATATTATTTTGAAGTGGATTTTTACTTCTCAAGTATCAAATATATTGTTGTGACAGTTCTGATACAAACAACATTACTATATAGGGGCAGAAAGATCATTTGTCTAGAAACAGCTGTCTCACAGCTGTTTTCTAACTTTAAAAAACAAACAGCTAACCAATTTATCTGAAACAGCGTCTGCGCAGCAGCTTTCTAGGGCAATGTCTACGCAGCAACTTTACAGCAACTTATTGATAAGCACCAACTGCCCCAAACAGACCTTTAATCCTAAAATTGTTTGCCATGAGAGATGTTAAATATGGTTAAATCATGTGAAATTAGTTTGCAATTTATAAAATCAAAAAATTATTATATTTATATTTTATTGAACTAATTAACCATTTAGTAAGAATTTACTATTCGTTAATTAGACATTGATTATTTATTTCCTAATCTAGGTAAATATTGCTTAAAATTGTATGGAACAAATCAAATATTAAACCATTACTTTAATAATTATTAATCAGTCATAAATTAAATGTTTATCAACCCGATATCAATTATAATACTGAGTTATAATTAGCCTAAAAGACAACATATAAATCAATCATTAATTAATATTCAATTAAATGAATTAAAATTAAATTCAATTACACTAAATAAAAAAAAAAGTTCAGATCCTCCATTCAATTACATATTAATATTAAATTAAATTCAACTACATACTAATTGGTCATTAATTTATAATCAAACCCGCAACATTCCGCTTCCCCCAGCCACTCCCATTAATTCTACCGCTACTTACCCTTTTTCCCCTCCTGAACGAAAGCCACAAAGACAATGGCGATTAGAGTTGTCAAAAAAACTTGTTCGCGAACAGCTCCTGTTCGGCTCGTTCGTTAAGCAAACAAACCGAACACGAACAATTTTTTAAAGCCCGAATTGTAAACGAGCAGAACACAAACAGCTCTTTGTTCGCTCGTGTTCGGCTCGTTTTAACTCGAAATAAAAAAAATTATATATTTATTTATATAATAATATATTACATATTTAAAAGCTCGAATTATAAACGAACCGAACACGAACAAAATCATAACACCTCGTGTGGTAATGTGGTTAATATTTTCTTTTGTATACATTTGGTTCAGGTTCGAATCTCACATTTTACATCTATTTTTTTCAAATTAATTTTTACGAGCCAATTTCGAGCCGAACACAAGCCAAATACGAACAAGAATATTTAAATCGAGCTGAACACGAACACACTGTTCACGAGCCAATTTTGAACACGAGTCGATTTCGAACACGAGCTATTTTGAGCGAGTCAAACACGAGCCAAGCCTGAGCTCGCTCAAGCTCGGCTGGTTTATAGCCCTAATGGCAATTAGAGTAAGGTTGAAAGGCAATGACAGGATCGCAGTGTCTGAGAAAGAATAAGACATAAAAATCCTGTCTTTCTCCCCCTTCTAGTCTGCCCAAGAAGTCACAAAGGTAACCACTTTTGAGCAATTCAAATTGTCTAAACCCGGTAAATCTACCCTCCAACAACATTTACCACATTAGAATTTACGGCAAAATTGAGGAGAAAAGGTATTTGAATTTATCTAGGTTTTAAAGTTGTCATTGTAGTAGTTTGACAGGATTTAGGTTAAATTCTACTACCAAAAAGCACCTAAATACTAAATGCAAAAAATCTTACGTAAGCACTTAACGTGCTGACATCTCTGAATGTTTTATGGTCCAAGAGATCAAATAAATGTTACTAGTCACTTAAACTAAATTATTTTCTAACCTTCTCTTGTTGGGAAAACATTAAATATATAAATATTTTGCTTCCCTTTTCTCATTTAGTGTCATAACATTTTTACTGCTTATTTTATCATCTCGTAATATCACTCATAGACACCTTTCCACATTGGCAAGCTCCTCAACAAGATCGAAATAAATAATATAAGAGTCTTAGATGACCACATCATTGTATTGCAAGCACAAGAGGCTAGGATTATGCAAATAGGACAACCAGTCAATATCTTGTCATAAATCTATGAAATCAACATGAATATAGCTGCACTAGCACAACCTCATAATGAAGATGAAAACTATACACAAGAAAGTGTGCAAAAGTCTCCTCAAGGAGAGCCCCAAGTCTTACGAATATGGCTAGAGGCAATCAATGTGCTGGCAAATTGATGACTATAATGGTGATATCTGAAAATTTGAAGTTATAGATTTGATGAAGTTCATGACAAACAATTTTTTAGAATTACGACAACAAAAGAAGTAATATCTTATAAGATTCAATGACAACCAACGAGTGCCTTCTGCAAAAGTGAAATTATAACCAATTAGAAACTTTAAGTCCAATTATTATTATGAAAAGAACTTCTCAAATTATGGAAAATATGAACTTGTTCAAAAAAGTAGTGAGTAGAGCCAATTGTAATGACAATGATTGCTAACTTGCCAATAGATATTTCCTTGGCTTGCAACATAGAATTAGAAATGAGATGGAGCTCTAGATCCACAATACATAAAAGTGACTTTTCATTTGCACATTTGATAGAGAGAGAAAAAAAAAAGGCAAGGTTTCATTCCTAGACCTGAGGCTAACTCTCTGTTGATCTCACATATAGCCTAATCCACACCAAGTTGGCACTCCTAAACCCACCATTGAGGGTAGTAAAAATGTTAAAAAAAATATTTCTTTCAAGTATAGTAAGAATGATCAAATACAACATCAATGTAAATCCACATTACCTATTTGTAGAAGAAGAATTTAATTAGGAAAATGATAATTTAGATGAATTGCATTCTGAGACCTCACCCTTTGAGAATTACTAAAAGTCTTTTCAATCATATATTCTTCATTAAGATTGCTTGATAAATAAATTTTTTAAACCCACTAAAATTACAAATTATGTATTCTATTTTATCCTAACCCAAAATGAATGAAAGCATCTTTGGTTTTTATTAACAATGATTTACAACCAAAAAAAAAAATTATTTGTTAGCAAACTTTAAAAAGATCATGATATTGCCACAACATCTCCATAAAATTTGTTAGTGGAGAGGGAAGAAAAAATGACTTTAGTGAAGAAGAAAACTATTAATTTGCTCCATTGATTTCAACTGGAAATAAGAAGTGCTTGCAGACATAGGCTGCCAGTCTAGCAATATGCTAATATGCAATACAAACAATTATTTTTTTTTAAAAGAGAAAGACAGAGAGAGAAGGAAAAAAAAAGTTAAAAGAGTATTACCCGTCAAGCTGATACTTTGTTCTATGCCTACTATAACCAGCGCATTGTTCATCGGCACCAGATCCAACAAGTAGAACACGAGCTTCTGATTTGTATTTGTAATAATGCTGATCTTCCTGATGAAAATTACATATTTGTCCATCCACACGGCCATCTCCACCAGCAGCTAACCATAATGCTATACCAATGTTTAAATCCTACAGAATTTTGTAACACTTCTTTTTAATCACTATCAATACAACTCGAGAAGTATTTCTGTACGCTATTCATCTCTTTTATCATTTTATTTACTTATTTGGAGGATGGTGATCAAGGAAAAGTAAATTTTCTATTGTTAAGATAACAAGCATGTGTAGGCTGTGTTAGATAGTTCAAGAAGAGCAATTTACACAATGCACATCCATGAAATAAAGTTAAAGCGACATACCATAAAGGTTTCTGCTGGATGTATTAACGACATTACATGTTTAGTGGTTTTCATTGTCAGATTTAAGAGCGTTGCATCAATCTCCACAAGTCGCCATCTGAAATCTAAAGAAGCTAATGCTTGATAGACATTTTCATTGACAACATAATTATTTCAAGTTAAGTATTCACACCTTCGAAGCATAACAACAAAATATTTCACATTAATTACCTTCTCATTGGAGCAATCTTCTGAAGTTCTCTTAGCCCTAATCTTGCTGAAACTCTGTCAGGAGCAAACTGGCCATCAAAGCTTACATTTAACAAATCTATTATATCTGCCAATAAAAGCAAAAGAGCGATCATTCAAACTTAAAATCCATCAATAGCTATCAAATAAACAAAATATGTATTCCTTAATAAATATCTTGAAGATGACAATGATCCAAGAAGCAAGAAGAGAACAAGACAGAAAATGAAATTGAAGCACATAAAATTGCTAACACTAAACCAAAATCATGTATTTCCATTTTTACTTCGAGATAACAAATAGCCTAAACTACCACTAAAGGCAGGATTAGAATAGACCAGAAAAAACGCTTGAAGAACTTCATGTGTCCTATCTCGTAGTCACTACACATAAAACCTTACACAACTGGCAATCCTACAACCAACCCTGCAATACAAGATAATATAAGTGCCTAGGTCCTGCATAAATTTTTTTTTTTAATTTAACAAGCAATTAAAAGATGATAATATGCATTTGATTAGTTATTTTTACAACGTTAAACAAACTTATTTATATAATGAATGCTTCAAAATGCCATATTTTAACATTTTAAAAATAGGTTTTTTTTCCTAGAACTCAACAGACCCGTCCAATATCCAATCTCCCACCCTGAAGATTAAGAAAGACAACTCAATGGCAAGTTATTATCATTTTGCCTGACCATTTTTTTACCATATTTTTTATTGTGAATTATTCCCATTGGGTACAACCACAGCTTGACGTCTTCTTCAAGATCGTGATTCCTTCGTCAATTTAAACATGATTCTATAATTTAACCGTGATTCACTCCCTTTACTCTTCCTCTTTATAAATTCCATCGCTCTTTGGGGACACAATTTGAGATTCTCTTAATCCGTAATTACAAATAACAAAACTCCAGTTCAATTTTTTATATCTAGGAAGATTTTTTTCAGGAAATTAATGATTGTAAGACTCCTTTAAGGTTTCAACTACAACTTTCAATTATAAGAACTCCTTTCTCTATGTCAAAATGGCGTCAAGTTATTGAATGCCACGGGAAGACTTAGCAAGTGTAACCAGAATTGGTAATCATTAAATTAATCAAGATTTATATAAAAGAAAGAGTCGAGCCAATGCTGATAATATGTTAATTAGGACTTCATGTTCATATAGTTTCTAAGAAATCTAAAATGAATTCATATTATTCAACAAGATCAATTATGCCCTTCAAATATTTTCAGAATTTTAAATGAATCACTCTATCATTTAAAAAATCAAATAATGGTTGAATAACCAAGTTTTCAATTTTTCATTCAACTTAGAAATTTAGACCATAAGAGAATAAAGGCTACTAGATGCTCTTCACTTTTAAGTAGATATTTATGTTATACAAAGTAACTGTTAGGCTTCAGCTTTTTCTCTTTTCCGTAAGGAATAAAGCTAAAATGTGGTTGAATTTATTAGCACCTAGATCTATTATAACTTAAGGTGACTTAGCCTAAAACTTCCTAACTAAATATTTTCCACCTTAAAAAACTGTTAAACTTACTCATTTTGCCAATATGAAGGTGAGTCAATATATGACGCATGGGAAAGATTTAAAAAACTTCTTAGGAAGTGTCCACATCATGCCCTGTCTGTTTGGTTAATCATTCAAACCTAGAAATGATATTACTTCAATTTGCCAGAACAATTAGAAGAATTAAAAAAAAGAAAGGACTTTATCAATTCGTGGAAGAAATGACGAATATTCAACGGAACAATGTAGATAATTAAATATCAGATAATGAACACCATAACGCTCATAGGCCATTAAAGAATTACGCTAATCCTACGACAGATGAAATTCACTTAAGTATTCAAACTTTTGTCGTAGACGCTAACACATATGAATTGAAACCTGCTATTATCCAAATTGTGAGGGGAACTCCGTCTGAGAATCCAAATTTACACTTAGCAACTTTTTCCCTTTTGCTTAAGGAATAAAACTAAAATGTCATTGAATTTATTAGCACCTGGATCTATCAGAACTTAGGCAGACTTAGCCCAAAAATTCCTACCTTCCAAAACTGCTAAACTTATAAAGAATATTACTTCATTTTACCAGAATGAATGTGAGTCAATATATGAAGCATGAGAAAGATTTAAGAAATTTCTTAGGAAATTTCCACAACACACTCTATCAGAACTTAGGGTGACTTAGCCCAAAAAATCCTAGCTAAGTATTTTTCACCTTAAAAAACTGCTAAACTTATAAAGAATATTATTTCATTTTACCAATATGAAGGTGAGTCAATATATGAAGCATGAGAAAGATTTAAGGAACTTCTTAGGAAATTTTCACATCATGCTCTGTCTGAATAGTTAATCATTCAAATTTATATATGATATTACTTCATTTTGTCAGTATGAAGGTGAGTTAATATATGAAGCATGAGAAAAATTTAAGAAACTTCTTAGGAATGTTCACATCATATTTTGTTTGATTGGTTTATCATTCAAACTTTTTACAATAGGTTTGTAGGATCCCTTAAATCTATCATTGACGCTGCCGCTGGTGGTTCACTCATATCAAAGTCATTTAATGAAGTTTGTTCTTTAATTGAAGAGATGACTACAAACAATTTTCAAAAACCTTCTGAAATGAATAATCCTAGAAAGGCATCTAGTGTTTACAATACAAACATGCTTTCAATTCTTACTTCTCGGGTACAGCAGTATCTAGTAAGTTAGATCATTTCGAAATGAACCAACCTCAAATATCTCCAGTAATTGAGGAAGACAAATATTGGATTCTTAAGATTTCATTATTTGAGACTTTAAATGCAATTAACAACAGACCTAACCGTTATTCCAATTACTATAACTCAGGTTGGAAGAACCATCCTAACTTTAACTAGAATAATAATTATGGTGAGGGAAACAAATAATGGGGAAATAATCAAGCAAAACCTTTAGGAAATTGGAATAATTAGGGTAGCAATAATTATAGACATTCTTATCCATTAGGCTTTAATAATAATTCAGAGTTTAAGGAAAAGAAGTTGTCTCTAGAAGATGTTCCATTGCAAATGGGAAATCAACTGCAAAGTTAAGGTGCGACAATAAGAAATATAGAGAATCAACTAGGACAAATTCCTAACTCACTTAGCAATCGAGCCCAAGAAACTTTTCCTAACAATACTGAGATAAACCCTGAGAAGAATAGTGAGAAAGGTAAAGCTGTCCAACTAAGAAGTGAAAGAGAGATGGGGGATGTAATTCGAAATGAGAATGAGGTTGAGAAAAAGATTGTGGAAACTGAAGAATCTGAGAACATGATTTTAAGGATTGTGGAAACTTCATTGTGTTAGATATGGAGGAAGACAAAAAAATTTCAAATATTTTAGGGAGATCTTTTCTTGCTAGCGGACGAGCTATGATAGATGTGCAAAAAAGTTGAATTAACCATTAAAGTAAATGATTAGGAAGTTACATTCAATGTTTAAAGTTTATGAAATATCCTGTTAAAAGAAAAGAAGATGTGTGTTTTCGAGTAGACTTAATTGATTATTTATGTAGTAGTCATTTCCGAGAAGATTGTGAAGTTAAATTAGTTGAACAGGAGTTAGATAATGAGAAGGATACGAATTTCAAAGATATTGACTATTGAAAATTCAAAATTTGTTTAGAAGATTTTTGAGATTCTAGATGCAACAAAAAAAAGTAAATCACTCATCCCTTCTGGGGAATCTCTTGAACTTGAGATGAAGGTACTTCCTACACATTTAAAATATACTTATTTACAGAACTTATCTACATTATCAGTCATCATATCCTAAGATTTGACTCAATTTCAAGAGAAAAAATTAATGAAAATTCTTAAGAATTATAAGAAAGCTTTCGAATGGACCTTAACAAATATTAAAGGAATTGGTCCTTAAATTTGTATGCATAGGATCCTGATAGAAAATAATCATAAATCCTCAAAAAAGATTAAATCCAATTATGAAAGAAGTTGTTAAAAATGAGATATTGAAGTGGTTTGATGCAGGTATTATCTATCATATATCATAGTGTTTAGATTAGTCTTATACATTGTGTTACTAAAAAAGAGAGAGTGACAGTATCTGTAAATGAACTGAATGACTTAAATTCAACTAGACATATCACTGGATAATGAATTTGTATTGATTATCGAAAATTGAATTTAGCCACTAGAAAAAAACACTTTCTTTTACCCTTTTATGTATCAGATGTTAGAAATATTAGTTGGTCACCGATACTTTTGCTTTTTAGATGGATATTCTGAATATCATCAAATATCAATAGCTCCTGAGGATCAAAAAAATACTACATTTACGAGCCCTTGTGTGACTTTTGCTTTTAGAATAATGTTTAATGTCTTTTGGGTTATGCAATGCACCTGCTACTTTTCAGATGTGCATGATGTCTACTTTCTATAACTTGACTGAGAAAGGGCTAGAAGTTTCATGAACGATTTCTCAGGGTTTGGAACCTCATCTGATTTATGTTTAGACTAATTAGCGAAGGTGATAAAATGTTGTGAAAAGACTAACATTATTCTCAATTGGAAAAAATATCAATTCATGGTCGCAAGAGAAATTGTTCTCGGACATAAAATATTTGAAAATAGTATGAAAGTTAACCCAAAAAAATTTAAGTAATCGCTAATCCCTCCTCCTGCTGCTGTAAGAGGAGTTAGAAGTTTTTTAGGACATGTTGGATTCTATAGGCGATATATTAAAGATTTCTCAAAAATCGTGAAGTCTTGATGCTGTCTTTTAGAAAAAGATGTCTTATTTAACTTTGATCAAGATTGTCTAAATGTCTTTAATATTTTAAAAGAAAAATTAATCACCGCTGTTATTATAGTCTCACCGAACTGAGGGAGGTCATTTGAGTTGATGTGTGATGCCAGTGATTATACTATTGGGACTGTGTTAGGGCAAAGATATGATAAAATTTTTAAAGTTATATGCTATTTCAATAAAACCCTTAATGAAACTCAAATTAATTACACTACAACTGAGAAATAATTATTGGTAATAATAAATGCTTATAAATTTAGATCTTATTTAATTAGAA